ATCGATGTATTTTTGCTTTGTTTTCATAATGTACGCAAACCAACAAGATGGTCTTCAGTTAATTGATAAGATCGATTCGATAATTCGACTGGAACTGATTCAATTTAAAGTCTAAAAACCAACCGGATAGAATAGTTGTTACAATTTCATCAACATCTGAATACATTATAATAAATACATTTAATTTGAATATTTTCATTTAATAATTTTGATTTCGAATCGATAAATCATTATTTATATTCAGAAAGAAACGACAACGATTTATATATTTATTAAGTTGATAAGAATCATGTCAGTAATCTGCTACAATAATAACATTTTCTATACCATCTTCATTAGCAAATTTACTAATTAATGCTCGAAATGATGGAAGAAGTTTTCGATAATTAGAAACACCAAAAATAGTTTGATGCAATACCATTTAATGTAATTAGGTTATAGACAGACACAGACCACAATTTTTAGGCCTGATCGATCCCTACAACAGATCCAATCTATTTGAACCTCGGATGAACAACGTTCGACAACAACTCTAACAATAATACTACGTTGAAATAAATCGAACATATATGAAATCCTTATTGAAGATATCGATCAGCATGAATTCTGCCACCAAAAAAAAGCTCACTTTGATGATTTATTCGAAACAGTGTTTTATCTAGATTTTCTCTTTCAGAGAGACGATTCAAAAGTTTCAGACAACCAAACCAATCTTCAGAAGAAAGCCGTTTCCTTCAATTTCCATGATGAAATATTTCAAGGCTAGTAAATATTGGTTTTAATTATATTTAAAATCATAAGTACGTATTGCTTTTGTTCAGTAAGACTTCTGTCGAATGATTCTATATGTTTTCTAGTATTCGTAATAAAATCATTTATATGATAACATTTTTTTTTTCTTTCATTAAATATCATCTGTACAATACTAACATGTCATAAAATAACAAGAAAAAGAGAAGAGCATACACATGTCATTTACGTTTCCAAATAAATACACGACTATCATCGGAACAAGCAACCAATATTGAACCATCATAATTGAATGATACCCGACTAATTTTTGCTTTTGAATTTACATTTTTCAATTTGACAAAACTTTACAAAAAAAAAATAATAATAGCAATAAATCTAAATAATTCCAAATATTGACTTACTCGACTGATGGATTATGCATATGATGACGAAGATCCCATACTTGAATTTGACCATCTAATGTACCAATAGCAAGTAACTGTAAGACAAAGAAAAGACTTTTTTTTTCATACTCCACTAATTTCTGAATAACTTTTGATAGGAATATCATAGAGATGTTCCTATCAAAAGTTATTCAAAAAAAAACCAATGGAATACGTTATATATATTGAAATAGATAGTAAAAAAACCTACTTGACTAGCACGACAAATATCAAATTTTAAAAACCAAATATATTCTTTTTCATGTACAACCCATTTAAGAAGTAATTTAATTGATGATGCTTTTGTTGTATTACTAAAAATTGGTTGCCATAAACAAAAAGTATTATCAGCAGACTAATTAAAAAATAAGAATAAATTTATAATAAAGAATTTAATCAAATAAAATAATTAACTAACTCGAGAAAGTAATACATCACCATACCATTGTACATTATCAACATAATGTGAATGAAGTGTTTTAGCTTTTGCTTCAATATCTGCAAAAGCAACAGCATATGCTTTTATTAATCGACGTTTTTGTTCATGTATGGGATTTTCAGCTAAATCAATTTGTTCTCGAATTTTATCACTTGTTAATGACCATACAAATACTGAACGATCCATACTAGCTGATGCCAACATTGTACATTGATCATTTATATCCTTAAATTAAATATTAATAATTTATTCTTTGTTTTGTTTTTCATAGAAGTTTTTTCTTTTACCACACAAAGTACTTGATCTGTATGACCATTTGGTCCATGAAATACAACAAGACACATCGATGAAAGAATATCCCAGAGTGTGACCGTAAAATCTTGTTAAAAAATTCCATTAAATAAAGAAAAACAAAATATCTATTTCTTTTTTTTTACTTTTACTAGCTGTACATAGAAAATTAGGTTTAGCTTTAGCAAATGTTAAATGATTTATGGCACCAGTTTGTAAAAGCTAAACAATAAAATATAAACAAATAGGACAAAATTAAACACTTCATTTTAGGTTGGCTCATTCGATAGAGAATTTCCTGAAATCTCCTTCCGTTGTCGGATGTTAAAATCAAAATTTTTTCGATATTTAGTATACCTTCGAAATGTCCTATGTCAAATGCTATATAAATGAGGGCTCCTCTTTGTATGCAAAATTCTCTTAATGATTATTTCTCATTTTCAAAAGTGTTATGAAATCATGGATCACAGATAAACCAATTTTCACACCAAAACGTGTAGAATTTCCCTACTTCTCCACCATAGTGCGACGTTCGATCGATTGATTTTTCAAAAAATTCTAGTAAAAAAAACGTGTATTTTTTGGAGGTATGCTCAGAATTTTAATCTCTTTATTCGAACAGAAGAAGATAAAAAGAAACCAAAAAAAACAAATTGGCACTTCAAGTAGTGTCAAGTATTCGTAAAAAAACATTCCAGCTCTATTGGAATTTTTTGCGGCTGAGAAAGTAAGATGAATTTTAACCTTTACAATCCAGATATTTCCTAGAGAGAAGTATCCGGGAATTTGGAGTCTATGACAACTTTTGTTCTACTCGACGAGATCGATCTATTCTCTAAGTTTCAAAGACTTTTGATGAGCCATTCTTCAGAAACTCCGAAAAGAAGAGGGATCCCTTAACTAGGGAGCTGCGAATAGAGTCCGGGTTCAACTTTTCATTTTTGGTCAGACCCGATCACACGTTTTTGTGAATCTGCTGCTCCCCAGATGAGAAATCTAGCAACAAGATATAACTGTACGCTGAGTTTTTTTCTAGAAAGTGGTGAATAAATCGTTAAAACCTTGATCCTCCACTTTTTCATGCACACGAAAGGTAATACGTATTGATGGGAAAAATCTCAGGTTTGGATCCAGCCGAGTCCGGGTTCATAAAAACACGGATCTGCAGCTTCCTACTCTTAACAATCATAACATTCTGCTCAGAATAAAATTTTGCACCGAGTCCCATGAGAAGAAATTGTCGCAGACTAAGTCTCACTTTGAAAAACATGTTTTTCTAGAATGCGTCTCAAAATACTATCAGATATGGGTTCAAAACATTCCTATTTTGAACAACAGCAGTTAAAACTTTGAAAAAGCCGTAGAAGCTGAGAAAATGAAATTCTCTAGCCATTGATGCCAAATACTTTACTTTTATCATCAGCCCTGATGAGCAAAGAATTACACAAATTGAGAGATGCCTGCAGGAAATCGCAGTTAGACGATTGAGTTGGTACTCATCTTTTTAATTTTGCACCGACAAACCAACGTTATTTGGAAAATAAAGAGAGTAGTTTTGTACATTAGGAAATTCTCTACCGAATAAGCCTAAAATGAAATCTATAATGTATGGCGAAGTGCTCTAAAAAGTGCATCACTAGTTACAACGAGTATTTCTTTTTTTTTTTTTTTCTAAATATTTTCTTACAGCAGTATATTGTGATTTTCGATTAATATCAAGAATACGAATAACACCTCGTTCACCTCCAGCAGCTAATAAAATTTTTGGTGAATTATCAGTTTTATCATCAATTGTTGTCCATGCACATGCAAAATATTCTTCATTAGCCTAATTTAATATACAAAATAAATTTATTTTATTTTTAGTTTTATTATACACTCTTACATCAGGATCAAGATATGCATGAACTAATTGAGTTTTATTTGTATTTGTATCAAATTTATATATTTGAATCTATATTAAAATTTAAATGAAATTTTCTTTTTCACCTATTATTTAATTAATACATACAGAATTTGCACCAACAGTAGCAAATAGAATTCCATTTGGATATTGTACTTGATTATTTATTTCTACAGCATAAATTTGTTGACGATGATTTTCCTATATGTTAGACGAAGCAAAAAATGTCAATTCAAACTAAATATCAGGACTACCACGTTTGTACTTTGATGATCTGAACGCATGAATAAGCTGTACGTATTTTAGACGATGAACGAACTTCTTCTTCACCATTACTATCATCACTATGATCATCTGCAGTTGCATCCGATGAGATTACCTAAGTTTTACATTCAAATAATAAATTAATTTATAAAAAAAACACGAAATATTAAACATCTTCTCTTCCCTCAAAAATCGATCTTGGGGCAAGTGTAGAGCCTGACGGAGTTCGAATATCTAGCCAGATGCATTCAAATTGCAGAAAATTTTCAGCTTTATATCAGGATGTTAATTCTCTATGCGTATTCATTCGATAGACTTTTTTATATAAAGAAAAAGAATAACAAGTTCAATACTTCAAAAAAATGATCATCTGTTTACAGGAAATGCTTCTTTATATAAAAGAGCTTAATTCAGAAAACAATCACTGCAACTTTACATGATCCTTCAAACAATTGAAAAGCATATTTTTCAAGCAGAAGGTTCCGTTGAAAAGAATACAAAATTCTATTTGTTTTCTGCAAACCGAACCAAAACCGTAATACAAAAAAACGCATGTCCATAAATTCACTCACCCCTGGTGATAATGATGATGATGCCATTTATTTTATTTTATTTTTTTCTTTCTCTTTAAAAAAAATATCTAAAACAAAACGTTCAATAATCATCCACTAAAACAATTTATCTTTCTATAAAAACCACTTTTTTTTTGTAAAACAGGAATGAATATAATTATATATATATATATATAAAGAAAAAAAAAAGAAGAAAAAGTCCAATTCATTTCACTTGAAATAAATCTAACACGAAAAAACCAAACAGAATAATATAAACATTAAAATTTTCTTTTTTTTTTTTGCATCACAGTTAAACTGCTAATTGCACTGATCAATAAAAAAACAAACAAACAAACAAACAAATAAATCTTTCTTCACATTGAATAATGATTTTGTTTATCTTTTTTTGTTCGTAAATTTTTTTTTGATGATGTTCTTGAACTATTTGTACAGCATACTAATGAATTAAACCATGAACATGAATGAAATTTAGCTGATAAAATTCTTCGTCCATTACTAATTCCATGACGATATCGTTGTTCATATAAAATATATGTTTCAATAGCTTGTTCAAATACATTTCGTATATTAAAATTTAACATTGATGAACATTCTATATAAGCTTTAGCTGAACAGATACGTGCTAAATATTCACCCTGAGATTGTGTTATTGGTTGTTGATTTTTTTCAGCTAATTGTTCAAGTGTTGATGGATCATTACGTAAATCAAGTTTTGTTCCAACAAGTACAATTGGTATACGAGGTGCATAACCTAAAGAATTATATTGTTTCAGTTGATTTTTTTTTCTTTGTACATACGATTTAATTCCGGTATCCATTTACTTAATATATTAGAATAACTATCAGGATCAACAATAGAAAAACAAAGAATAAATACATTTGTATTTGGATATGCCATTATACGAAGTTGATCATATTCTTCCTTTAAAAAGTAAAAGATTTATTTAAAATACAAAAATGGACGTCATTTTTTTTTCAAATACCTGTCCAGCACTATCAAATAAATTTAGAATATATTTTCGATTGTTCAATGTTACTGTTGCTAGAATATTGTTGAAAAAAAAAATATATCTATTTTATATATTCTATTTTCTTTTAATTTTATTAACCTGCATAATTCTCAAATATTGTTGGAACATATGGATCTTGTGGATATTCACCATCTTTATAAACAATACATAAGGTTGTCTTGAAAAAAAAAATAATAATGTTCTTTTTTTTAAGAAACAAAACTATTTAATTTAATTTTTTTTTTTTACTTTGCCTGTATAACCATCACCTATTTAAAAAATAAATAATAATAAATTTATTTTCTATTTGAATATAACTTACCAACAACAACAATTTTTATTTCTTCAGTTAATGATGTTGTTGTCGTTGATTTATAGTTATTCGATTTTGCTTTTGACATGTACTAAAAAGTGAAGAAAATGAACATTTATTCATAAGATATAGAGTACATGATTTAAATATTCTCGCAAAATTTATACATACATTTACCTGTTGATAAACATTGACGATGATATTTTAATGAGATATTCAAAGTATGAAGAAAAAAAAAAAGCTGGACAATGATTTTTTTTCTTCTGTTCTTCTCCTTTTTTTACTAAGATGACCTGAGACGAATGAACGAAATGATTCATACATATTATAGACGACGACGAGACGAGGAGAGGAGTATATATATATATATATATTTATGAATATGATTAGACAACGAATTGGAATAAGAAAATTGATAGAGGTCGTTTTGAACATAAGAGATAAGATTTCATATGAAAAATAGATTTGAACAATGAACTTTGTCTGATAATGATTTTTATTTAATTAATATCTCATTAATAAATAATTACAACGTTTTTCAATGATCTTCGAACAATTACTCTACTTACTTCGAGTATATGAATGATGACAATGAATGAATGTTGAAGGTGAAAATTTTTGTTGATGTTACTTGTAAAGTACACGTACTCACGTCACAACGAAAAAGAAAAAACCGAAACCGATAGAAAAATGAAGGGAACCCTTTTTTTCTTCGTGTTCTTATTCTTAGTCATTATAGTAGATGAGATGTTCTTTCGATAGGCTTCTGTTCTTTTTTTTTTCCTCTTTATTTTCTTATGCCTCTTTTTTGTATACGTGTGTGTGGAGGTGTTATTTAATAATCTACAACTAGTTATTCATTTTTTTTTTCTTTACTATGTCTTAAAATACACTATCATATCAGTCACATACCTTATTCAATCTTTTCGCTTCACGGCGATAGGTAGACAAATTAATTTACCAAACTTTACTAAAAGAAAAAAAAACGAGCAAAGAATAAATGTATATATATATATATATATGTATATGCAAGTCGCAATGTAATTATTTGGTGTTGTTGTTATTGCGTCTAATTCAGCAATCAGTTTTTATTTCATACTACCGATGTATATATCAAATACAGATGTCAACTCATCGATAAAAGAAAAAAAAATACAAGGACAAGTAAAATCGATATTATAAAGCATATACTCTCGATTCTTATAATTCATATGTTGCATCATATATATAATCAACGAAAGAAAATGCTTATTGAAGTTCATAAAAAAAGAAATACAAAGAATTTCTCTTTTATGTTTAACAAACTATTGATAGATGGGTTCATATAAATATTCAAAATGTTGAATAGAATATGAAAGAAGAAAAAAAAAAAAACTCAACTTTTAAATCATCAACAATACCAATTGTGAATATATGTAATATGATTTCGAATGAACAAAAAAAAAAAAAAGTGACTTTTACTATTCGATAAAAGAAAAAAAGGATAAAGAGTAAAACGTGCTTTAAACACAATGATCGATCTAATCTCAAATAATGGGATCATTGGTATTTCGAATAGAATGCAAAACTATTCATAGATTAAGTCAAAAATCTTTATTATGCATGTCAAAGAAAATAATTAACTAAACCAAGACAAAAGGAAAAAACTTTTTCAAATAAATATTACAATCTATGAACATTCAAATTGAATTCAATCATTCATCTAATATAATATTGCATATTAAATTCTATTATAATAAATAATTTCTTTTTAATCCATTCGTGATTTTGATCTTCTTTTGTTGTTCTATATAATTTAATCTACATTATCAAATTGAAAATTTCTGAATTTTTAATGAACAAGTAGGATTAAAATATGTTTAATTATAGAGTCTATCGAATAAGAATACTAATCAAGTATATATAATCAATGTTGATTTAAAAAAGAGATAGAACATATCAAATTGACAAGGGAATATTTTCAATTGACCAGTCGTTTTCACATATAAACCTACATGACAATTGATTATTGATCACGCCGATTTCGAATATGACCATGAGAAATCATCGTAGGTCTTCATACATTGGTTTTCTAGATTAACAAACTATTCGTCCAAAAAAAAAAGTTTTTTTGTTTTTGATCTGTCCAGATTATAGAGCATGTCGCGTTGTCTTGAAAACAGTAATTTTTTTCTATCTCAACTCGTTATTTTTCTTTTTTTGCACAAAATACAACAAATACATATTACCATTTCAGTATGAAAATCTTTAAGATGATATTATTTTACTGAAAAACTCATTTTTGAAAAACACAAAGGATTATTGATTTATAGGCAACTCGATATGCTCTATAATCTAAGTAGATCAAAACCGATTTTAGAAAAATATTTGTTTTTCTAGAAAACTAATAAATAACTTTTTCATCGTTATATTCTGAATCATTCATGGTTGATAATCTAGAATTCCGTAGTTTTTTTTTATCTGATTAATCAGTTGAAAAATGTTCTCCGATGAGGTTTTTTTTTCTTCTTTTCTCAATAACAACGATCTATCTTTCGGTATCAAATTAAAACACACACACACACATCCATTCAAGTACTCAGTCTTTCTAAAATAAAAAAAAACAAGTTTAGAAATTACATATATGTAATTTTCTTTTGAAGCAAAAAAAGAAATTCACAAATTTAATCAAGAAAAAAAACCTAAAAGCAAGAAAACCCTTATTTATTTCCATTAGAAGAAAAGAAAGAAAACAAAACAAAACAAAACGGAATAAAGTACAATATAATTTTCATAGAGTACATAGATGTAATAAATTTTGGACTCTTTTTTTCTTAAAATGTTATACATATATATAACAGTAAAGCAATTAATAGTTTTCTTATATTAAAATGAAAACATTAATAAAATAAATGTCTTTTTTTTTCATGATAAATTTTGATAATGTTTTTCATAATTTCTTTTATGTTGTTGTTGAAGAAAACCTAAATCAACAAAAAGTATTTCACCATTAGCAGCTATAATCATTATTTGTTTTGTCATAGTCATTGCTGCTGCTTCACTGTCTAATTGAAATAATTCTGTCATTATATTTGTATTATTTTGTCCTATTTCAAGTACACGTGACCAATGTTTTTGCCATTGACCATTAAAATATTTTCCTGATGTCATTGTATCTAATATATAACATTTATCATTATTTATTGCTTGTACTGAACATGGCCAACGAAGACGTTCAGTTGATAATAATTCAGCATCAATTATTTTAATTATATTACCAGAATTTGCATCACAAATATGAAGTGAAAATGTATAAGCAATACCTTAATTTAAAAAAAAAACAAAAGTTGTTTTTTTTAAACTCATTGATAAAAATATTCACATTTTTATACCTTGATTAAAATAAGGTTTACATGAATGTTCAATAATTATATATAAACGTTGTCCATAAGCAGATATTAATTTTGGTCGAGCTAAATATATAAAAATATTTTAATATATCTTTATTTTTGTATAGAAATGTTCAATTTTAAAATAATATGATTCATTTCAATGAAACATTATTGAATAATATTACAATTGAATTATTTGATAAAGTTTGTTTGTTTTTCTTTTCGATTATTTTATTTTGTATAATACACTGAATAGTATCGATTGGATTTTGAAGTAAGTTTAGAGTAAAAATTTATAAAATCATTGATAATTGTGAATGATACTCAAAAGAGACGGTATTTTTTAAAAGTTAACTAAATTTTGTTTTGCAAAAAAAAAATGCATTGATTAATTATTATAATTTTACTGAATTTTTTTATCTCTAGCAAGTGGGTGAAGTCCATCGAGTTAATCTCCGACCCGATGAACTCGAGTTGTTTAAGAAATATGTACAATGCGCGCTTGTTTGCCTTTCCTTGTGACATATAATTATTTTTGAATATTCAATATCTCAAGAAGAATACATCTTTTTAGGCTGAAGTTTCGTCTCACTTTTATAGGCTTCTCGTAGTCTCTTCGAAAAAAATCCTTCTCTCTCAATCTATGCGAGGCCGACATTCCTAGCATGTTTCATTCGAGAGTTATAAAACTTTTCCTGAGATCTCCGATTTCAGTCAATTGACCTGTTATTATTTGGAATAGACGCTAGACAGAGGTAACTCACCATGCTAAGTCGAGTAGTGATATTTGCTTTTAGGTTCGAAATGATCTAACTCTATTCTCTCAATATTTCTGAAATTCCACAATCAGCCTTCATGTAACGAAGGAGTGAATATTTGGGAAATATTCAGATAACAGAGTCAGATCATTTCGAACCGATAAACAAATATTATTATTCGATCCGGCATGGTGAATCACTCCTACCTAGCTGTTTTTCAGGATGACCACAGGTTAATTGGCTGAAATTGGGATCTTAGGAAAAGTTTCATAACTCTTGAATGGAACAAGCTAGGAATGTCGGTCTTGCGTGTAAATCTAAAGGGAAATAGCTTCAGAATATTGTTTTCGAAAATCTCGACCAAGAACTCACTTGATTGATCAATTGCTAATCAATCAAATTTCTATGTCCCCGAGTCTTCCCTCTTGAATGGTGCAAGTCGCAAGTCTCTATGATATTTCTATCAAAAGTTATTTAAAAACTAGTGAAACATATTATTATTTTTCGAATAAAAATAGAAAGCCGAAATTTGTTTTTGTTTTTTTTTTCTTTGTTCTCTAAATTATACCTTCATCATATTGATCTGAATGATTATAAATTCTCCATTGCGTAATAAATTCTAATTTATCATCAAATTTAATAACACATGAATTTCGATAATCACATACATAAACATTTCCATGTACGTTATCCGTATCGATACCTAATGGTAAAAATGTACCTGATTCTCCTGATGCATCTGTTTCTAAACAACAAAAAAAAATAATTTCATTAAAACAAAAAACTTTTAAATTTCATACCTTTAACACAATCTAATGTTTGTCCACTATCAATATCAATCATACTTACAATATCACCATGTGATATATACGCTATATTATGTGTTTGATATTTTTTTGATATAGCTATACCACGTATACTTGGTGTTAATTGTAATGTTTTAAGTGCATCACCATATTCATTAAGTATAAATAATTTATTACAAATACCTAATAAAATTTTTTTATTATTTTCTGTTACAGCTATAGCTTCAGGTTCTAATGTTGATAAATGATCAATTTTAAAATATTTAAATGGTGTAAGATTTGTAATTGGTTGTTCACTATGATTTGATAATGATGATGGTATTGAACGTGTTGGTGATGTTGTATAACGTTGTTGTGTTTCAGTACCATTATATGTTATTTGTCCAATTGTATCAGCAGCTATAGCTCGACGTCCTTCAGCAAATGTTAATACACTATTTGGTTCTTTTTGTTGTTCAACAGCTTGTCGAATATTTCGTATATTAGTTTCAATTTGTTCAAGATTTGCCCATAATTGTTGTTTATTATTATTAGTATTATTATTATTATTATTATTATTTGTAGTTGATTTTAAACGCTCTAATTCTGTACCAACAACATTTGTATCAGTAGCTAAATCAGCATAAATTTTTTGTTTACGATTATAATGTTCTGTTATATCATTATCAAGACGTTCAGCTATATTTTTAACTTCATTATGTATTGATGATTCTTTACGACCAATTTGTTTACGTACATCATCATAATCATATTTTAAACGTTGAATTTGTTCTTCAATTTCACGTTCTAAACGTTTTTGATCAGATAATAATATATCAACACGTGATGTTACAACAGTTGGTAATAATGGTGATGGTGATAAATAATTTTCTTGTTGACGAGAATAATTTGTATCATGTTCCATAGACATTGTAGGTAAACGATTTATTGGAATTGGAGATGCACTATTAATTCGAGATGAATTATTTCTTTGAATAGTAGGTGATAGGCCAACATCAGGATTGACAGGTTCGTTTCGAATCAATTTAGGCTAATTAATAAAAAGAAAAACACCAAGATTTGAATATGTTATAGAATTATCTTTATGATAAAATACTCAATTTTATATAAAGTGTAATCCTTACAGAGGATTATTACTACAGTGAATGACAAAACTCAAGAAATAATATTGATTGTAGCAATACTTGCTGTGAGTCCTAAAGGTGGTGGCCCAGAAATACGTGAATCATAAAAAAAAATCAGTATGATAGGTTCGCCAAGTCAAAAGCTTGCTCCCTTCTCAAGCTATTGGGCTCACTGTGAGCAGGTTAACCATAGATCATAGCTTCTCTTGAAGTTACCGCCCTATACCTCAAAAACAAGTCAATTTTCGTCCAAAACTCCGAAATTAAGATAAATGTATGGGAAGATAGTCCGACTTCAGATCTTCCATAAACGATAACAATTTTTACTCGACACCTCGTTTTTTCCAATAATTTTTGAAGATTTCTGTCATCCCCTATTCGAAAAATATGCTGTTTTCAGAAAAAACGAAAAAGAGTTTTTCGTTTTTTTTTCTCAGCTTATGCTTTTTCGATCGCGCATCCCAAATTTCTCTGTCTAGGTTCATCCTATGTATATAAATTTTTTTTGTTTGAAACAGCATGTCAAGATGCAGGACATGACGAAGTCCTTTTTTTTTAAATTGAGCTTTGTTTTTATTATATATATATAGACACTTATATAATTAGAGCGCCATTTTTAGAGTTTTTTAAGTCATTGAACTTGTAATCCGCTTATTCCACTTAAAAAGTAAGAATTTTTAAAAAAAAAAGAGGGGTCAAACATGCACTGCATCCTGACATGCTCTTTCCAACAAAAAAAAAAGTAAATATATAGAATGAGCCTGGATAGAGAAATTCGAAATGCGAAATCAGCTATTTTTGACCCTTGTTTGATGAATATCTCTGTCAAATGTCATGATATCGGGCTAAAAATCCTACAACTTCTCCACTACAGCATAAATATATCCTGAAAATTTCATACGATTTGAACGTACATGAACTGAGATCGGTTTTTGAGGATGAGAACCTTAACCTTTTGGATCTCGACAATTCTTGCGTTCTTTACAATTTTATAGAACAATCAAAAAAATCACTCTCTCTTGGGTTCTATCGTCACAAATCAGCTGTATATATGTATATTTTATCGTATATGAAACATGGATTGATACAGTCGTATTAACAAGCATTTCGTTTCATAGCGGTCTATCAATACGACAGAACGAAAAAAAAAATTCTTGCGTTCTGCTTGTCTTCAGTTTGAAGACAGCGAGATCCAAGAGGTTAAACAAACAAGGTCAGGGTTGGTCTCTCATTGACCTACATTTTAAAAGTAGTATACACGTAAAAAATCTCACATGTCTAGTCATAAGAATGGTTGAAATACTTTTGGTCCATAGTGCAATTATCTATTTAAGGAAGCAATTCCAATAATTATTTTTTGAATAACTTTTGATAGGGACAACGAAAAGAGCTGGAATTTTTACCGTGGATGAGAAAACATCACGTAAGTCAAAATTTGATTGGTCAGCAATTGACTAATCAGATGAGTTCTTAGTGGAAATTTTTGATGACGAGATTCTGAAGTAATTTTCTATTAGATTTTGATATGTAATATAGTCAATTGGTAGAGAAATGTCTTCTCTTTCAATCTTCAGAAATTTCAATTTCATAGCCACTTGCATTCAAGAGTTACAAGGATTTAAAGGTAATGTTTGTTATTGGTTTCAAAGCACCATGAGACCACTATTTCAGTATTTTTGAAATTTCAAACATTTTCCTTACATAGCATAAAATCGAAGTTTTGAAAATGTTCAAATAGTGATCTCAGATCGCTTTGAAACTGTAGACAAATATCGATATTCCACTCAGTATGATGAACTATTCCTGTCTGAGTTTCTTTTCGAACATTCTAAGGTCAATTTTCTGAAATCACTGGTCTCAGAAAATTCTTGAACAGAAGTGGCTACGAAGTTGGAGTTTACATAGATCGAAAGAGAAGACTTTTCTCTACCAATTGATCATATTACATATCACAATCAAGTGGAAAATGATTTCAGAATCTCGTTATCAATATCTTAGCTAAGAACTCACCTGATTAATCAATTGCTGACCAATCAGTTTTCGACGGATTCGGTAGTGTATTCTCTTGAATAGTGAAAACCTCAAGTTTCTTCATCGTTCTCCTATCAAAAGTTATTCAAAAGACAACCACCGGTATTCTTTTTTCGAAATGGATAATAGTTATTTATTGACCATTCTTTATATTGAAATAACTTACTTGTGATGTCATCATATGTTCATTTCGATCATCATTAATAGATGATCGATATGACATTGCTGATGTTGATCGTTGTTTACCAATATCATTATTAATTGTATCAGGTATCTCGAGATTTTGTGGTGGAGGTGGAAATGGATCTAATGAATTTCTTGATAATGAACTCATTGAAACTGTACGATGAGATATTTTATCATCTTGTTGATAAGTAAATGCTTCATTAAATCTTTGTTGTTGATTATTATTATTATTATTAGGATTTATTATTGGTGAAATAATTGATCGTCTTGATGTTGAATCACTTGTAACACTATGAACACTATCAGTATTACTTGCTTGACGTGTATGTTGTGGTTGTAAAGTCATTGTATTTAAATTTTGATGTAAAGATGTTTGATTAATATTAATATCTTCATCATCTTCATTATGTAAATGTGATGGTGTTGATAATCGACTATTTGTTGGTACATCTACAATTGGAATTTGTTGAAATGATGAAATTTTTTCAGATGATTGTTGATGATGTATAGCTATAAAAATATCTCGAAGATTATCAATCGCAGAATTATGATCAGATGATGTAGCTGATAAAGGTCGTTCAGGTAAATCAGGTGGATAATGTTGATTAACAGTAGCTGTTTGTAATTGTTCAGGAAAAGGTGGTGCAGCTGGAGTTGTTCTAGAAGAAGTAAAAAATTTATTTTTGAATTATAAAAAAAAAAAGAATTTACCCATGTGGAAGATTCTCCCATGTAATTTCTTCATAAACTTCTTCATATGCTTGTGATGGTTCTCTATCGTTTAATTGTGAAGTTGTTTGTTGTTGTTGTTGTTGTTGTTGATTTTCATTAATTATTTGTTGAAAAATTTTTGTTAATTCATCATGTTTATTTGTTGGTAAAAGATTTTCATTTTGTTGTGGTTTTAATGTTCTAGCTTCAGAATAAATTTTAATTAAATTTGAAACAACTGGTTGCGTATTTGATGATGAACGTGATGATTGATTTGTATTTCCTCCTATAGTTAATGTTTGATTAAATGTATTAACAATTGATGCAACACCATTTGTTGGTCGTTCATATTCATTATTTTCATTTATAATTGATTTACGTTTATCTTGTTGTGAGATTTGTATTGATGGTATATTTGATTGATAAGTAATTGGATTTTTAGATATAGGCATTGATGGCATAGGACGTGCACCAATACGCCATTTTTGACTTAAGATAAGATTAGGTGGTAATTCATGTAAATGTGTATCATCAAATGGATGTGCCTGCATAGAAATTGATTTTTTTTGTTTTTTTGTTTTAATAAATGAATACTTAAATTTTAATTTCGTTTTTTTTCAAATTCGATGTGGTTTATTATCTTCTCATTTGTTAAATGAAAAAAAAATTTAAAGGCAGTTATATATATTCTTATCTTTTTATAATGAAGGTTACTCTGACGTTACTCTTATCTGTTCTTTTTATAACAAAAGAATTTTTAATGATAAAAAAAACAAAGTGACATGTCAAACATCTGATAAATATATATATATATAAATATATAGATATGTACTTACTTGATAATGACATTTTGGACATGTAATTCGACTATTTTTAATTAATTTATCTCGAATACAATTAAAACAATATGTATGCGTACAAGGTAATACGCGTGGATCTTTATATTCACTATTACATAATGGACAAGCATGAACAGTTTCTTTTTGTACTGGTGGAGGTGCAGCACTTCGAATATTAAAACCACGTCCATCTCCACCACTACTATTTAAACTAGTATTACTTGAAGAACGACTTGTAAGTGGTTTGGTTGATTGGCCAACACCATTTCTTTGTCGTGTTGTCGGAAGATTGCTTGCAACACGCGACATTTTCTATGCCTTTTTTTTCCAATATTGATTTAATGATAGGACATGACGTCTTAAAAAATACAACAACGGATAAGTATATTATTGATTGTCTTCTAGTAAATATATATATAGAGAGAATAGAACAGGGAAAGAGAGAAAGGTACGTTGATCACTTATGGACGATAACGAAAAAAAAAAGAAAGTAAAAACGTAGTGTTGTTTCGGTTTTTTTTTCTTCAAAGAAATATGTCGGCACTTTTTTCGATAACATACAGCAGCTTTTATTAAATAGACCTTACAAATATAAAAAAATGACAAGAATGAATAAGAAAAATGTCGACAAAAACATAACATTTGTTATTTCACACATCATTCTACTATTATTAATATATACAAATGTATCAAAAAAGAAGTTCAGACAAGTTTTTTCTTTCTTATATCTTATGAAATTATAATTGTACGTTCTCTATTCTGACCAATATCAAATATTTTAATCGATAATGATAGAAAAAAAGAAAAATTTTTTACAGCCAACAGCTAAACAGAATAGTTAAAGAGGCAACAAAAAAAGGATTACTACCTTATTTATCAAGCTACTTGCAGTGAATGCTTATTAAAAATGAATATACTTATATATATATATAGCGAGAAAGAAAGAAACATGTGCACAAGATTTCTGTTGTTCATCATTTTAAAGTGTTACTTACTCTTTTACTTGTAATATTTTTCCAGCTAATAAAGTTTACCAAAGTAAAACGTCTCTTAAATAAATATTATTTTTTTTATAGTTATCAATCAATAAAAAAACAAGTAAAAGAATAACAAAAAAAAAACAAAATATTTGAAATCAACAATAAGAAGAAATAGATTTGTATGAATAGTAAATGAAACAAGATCAAATGACTGAAACACACGTTCAATTAGATAATTGAATAGGAAAAAAAAAACATTGACTAGTCCGCCCACATGGATTAGTCTCAGTTTGCTAGTCGAACAACATAGAGTCATACTAATTGTCCCTCATTGTGTGACCGCACTGTTAGTTGTAAGATTAAATCGACAAGAATAAGACTAATTTCTTATCCTTTTTCTCTTTCTATGTTCAATATGGTCCGTCTTTGTTCTCTATTTTTCGAGCCAATACGTGTATAGATTTCTCTTTATCGGTGAACAATATATACACGAGCCTAAAAGCAACAAAAGTTCTGTTGTATTATACATTCAAGCAAACAAAAGCATCGAGAAAAGACAACATCACGTCGTAGTTTTACAATATTTCATCATTTAATAGTCACCGTATTTATAATGAATGTGAGAAAAGTATGTATATTGGAGATGTTACAAAAAAAAAACGGAAATTAATCTTAATATATATATATATTTCTTTCGATCGATCGTATCGATATGTAACTAAGACATCAAACATAATAGTTCTTTATAATATACATTAAGCATGGACAAAAAAAAAAAAAAGAAAAAGAATGATTACTTAGAAAGGTATTGAAGCAATGTGAAGGTAACAAGTGTATTGAAACGTGGCTTCTGAATAACATAAGTATATGTTCCTGTTGAATTAAGAATTAATGATTATTGTTTTCTTTTCTTTCGAAAGAAAGAGAAAACCTATTTGATTTTGGTTCAATGAACAAATTCGTCTTTAATATGAAAAAGTTGAATCTGGTACATTAATCAATAATAATAAAAAAAGACGAACGAAAAAAAAAAATTGCAGGGGTTTATTTTGTTTTGATTTAAAAGAAACAATAATGAAAATTGACATATTAAATTTTTATTGACCGAAATCTGTTAAGCTATAATCATATATGACAATAAAGAATCCTATAATTATAATATAAAAGGTTATCAATAGAACTAATATTTATATTTTATTTAAGTATTAATAATGAGTGAAAAAAAAAATCTCATTAACAAATAAATCAAATTGAAATTTGAATAGTCGAAAATAATTTCACAATATAATTGTTTCGATAAAAAAAAACAAAGATTCGATCGATTTGAAATTCTCAACCCGAGTCGATTGATATTTCTGATTTTTTTTTTGAATACATTTTATTCTATATGTCTATATTAATATATCATTTTAGTACCAGTTGTTCACTTGATTTATTTTCATAGCGATAAGATAAGGACAACTTCTTGCATGAAATAATAATTTAAAACAAGAAGACAAATAATCATAAATATATGTCATACAAGAAAGACTTAAATTAATACAATATTTTTGATTGTATTCAGTATTATATTTCGTATAATCGAAAAAAAAAATTTAATTACAATAGCAAAAACAACATATAACAAAGAGATAAAAGAAAATGTAAGGAATAAATGATATTTATCACAAACAGCAAGGACATTTATATTTACCAATTCTTTTTCACAATAGCACAAATACAATATTTACTATCAAAGGGGAAACAGCAGGCTTCATGAGTCTTCAACATATATCAAAAGCTACAGCTCAAAGATTTCACGAGACTTCGACATATGTTATCGGATGTCAAAACACTTCGTAGGTTTTCAGAATATTTCATGAGGCTTCAAGATTGAAGTTCCTGCTGTTCTTTTCGTCGATATAAATCCTACAATATTACATCTAAACGTCTTGAATTGAAAGAGTTTTCAATTAAAACATAAAACTTAAGTTTCTTTTTTTTAATGTTATTTGTCTATCTACTTTTGAAGTAATATCAATATTAATTAAGTTTGGTTTTAACTCATTAAATAATTCAATTTAGTTTTGCAAAATAATCTCGTATCATGATGTCGTTCTTTTCTTTACACATATAGAAGTCGAATTATGCACAAAATCAACATACTTATCGCGCAACACACAATAGAAGAAAAGGTCAAAAAACACATCGCATGTGTATTCATTGTTCACAATAAAATGATATTTATTAGTAGAAATTTTACTGTATACACTTTACGTTTAATAATCATTTGAATTTCATAAGATCTTTTCTTGGAATATCACGAAATATTCTTTATCAATGTAAATAGATAAAAATTGTTTCCTATAAATTTTTACTTTTTAGCCTCTTTGAAAGTGTTTTCGATAGATTTAACATCAGAATTTTGTTCTCTTTCCCAATATGGACTTAAAAATTTTCGCTCGATAGTAATAAAGTAATCATTGTGAAAGACTCAAAAAATTAAATTGGAAGGAACTGAAGGATCGCTGTCTCTCGCGGAAATGTGTGCTCAGATTAGCCTACATGTTGTCTCTATTTTTGTTCGAGATTAGTGTGAGTAAGGTACTAAAAATTATCACAGCTGGTAGATTTTATCGAGCGGACACTTCTTTACAAAATGTTGTATTGAACTAAGCTCTAGACATTTTATAAAAAGTTCTGTCTTAAAATTATCAATCCATTCGTTATTAATATATAAAATCGCAAAAATTATCTATTCATATATCTTTTTTTGTTTTTTCACGCGCATTCTTATTTTTATTATCATTATTCTCTTACGTTTAGTTCTATTAATCTTTAATAAGTTTTTCTTTTTATGTTACCTTTTACAATTCTTATACATAATACAAATGCAACACCATCATCACCAACAAATCATATATCATTAACACATTTTCTTGAAAATAATTTTCATTATCCATTACAATCATCATTTAATCGTCATGCACGTATACCATCATTATTATCAAATATATTTCTTTGGTTAGCTTTTTTATTTACTATTATTATACTACAAATAAGTAAACATGAATTAAGTACAAATGTAAGAATACTTTATGGTTTAATGATGTTATTAATTATAATTATGTGTTATATATTTATTTTATTGGAATCAAAAGATTGTACAGAACAAATTTTACTTAAAAAACGTATTCAAATTGATATTATTAAACGTGAACTTGGTTTATTACAAAAAAATTCAAAATTAAATAATTATTTAACTGTAAAAGCAACAAATTATTATAATTCGTTTAGACGAAAATATATTGATTATCAAGTATGAAAATATTCAAAAATAAAAAAGGAACGAAGATCGATAAAGATGTTCAGTCATTTAAAATCTTTGTTTTTCCAATAAAATACACACGACCACATCAACTAATTATCGAAAATTTAAAAATTCTGTCTTTTTTTAATAGATTTTTCAGCTAAAAACACATTCTATAACAGAGAGTCGTAATTATTTCAATAATTAAGGGAACTTTCATGAAGAAGAAAGTTTTTAAGCAACCATCGATCATGATTTGTGCTTCTTCAGAAAAAGAATACTCAAATTTTGTTAAACACTATTTAAAGGGAGTGTTATAGTATAGAGGTAAAAATAAGGGCGCGTGAGTTATGATGCCCCTTTACTTTTAAAAATGGTCCATGTAGGATTCCTATTCCTAGAAGTTAACCACCTTGCAGCTTCTTGTCTTCAGTGATGAGTTATGCTTCTGAGTAAAAATTTGAATCCTCTTTCCGTCTTGCACATTGTGACACATGTTGATATACAATCACAGGTAGTGTATCAATAACATCTCGTTACTACTTCCATATTGCATTTCTGGAGGATTAAGTAAAAAAATGGTGAAGAAATGTGTTTCAAAATAGATAGAATTAAATAATCTCCTTATGATTAGTAACAACAGCGACATCGTGTTTCATATGTTAATCTCACAGAGATTGTGGTCACAGCAGCTTATTTTGAACGATTTAAGTTCTATATTCCGATATCTATTCGATCTCACACAAAACTATAGAATTCTTCGATGCGTTGTGCGAAAACTTCAAATATCGAATTAAGATTAACTAACATAAGAAAAAAAAAATTCTTATCTACTTTTATCCTTGGAAAATTTTTTTCTTTCTTTTTTTTTTATAGCTATATGATAAATCACTATGTGTACGTTTACAATCATTTTTTTATCGTAATATTCGTTTAATCGAAACTCCATTTAATATTCGTCAATATTATATAAATATTCCTGATTTTTCCATAGATAAAAATCGTTTATGTCAAATATTATTTAAATTTAATTTAACAATTATTGGTCGTGATGCTGATATTGTTTATGATGATATAATACAAGAATTTCAACGTCTTGAAATTAAATTATTAAATTCAACAAATAATAATAATATTGATTTATATTCAATAAATAAATTAGCACGTTTACAACGAAATATTTATTTTCAATTTAATGATATAAAACAACAAGATTTATTATTTGGACAACGACGTACATGTCTTGTTTATGAAAATAAAATGAAAATATATTATCGATGGTTTTTAAATGAAAATATTTTTTGGATAATGACATGTATTGGTTTATCATGGTTATTTCGTGCTATATTTGCATGTTTAATAACAAAAATTATTATACCTATACATATTGAATTAGAAGGTGCTATGCCTTTACAATCATTTGTGAATAATGATGAAAAAAATATAATTAAAGGAAAAATATCATATATAATTTAAATTTATTATTATGTTTTTCTTGTTTTCCTAATTATAAATTAAAATTATACATTATTTGAAATAATTCTTAAGACATACAAAACATATATAATTTAATATAGAGTAATGTTGAAATACTTATGTATTTATGTTTCTTCAGATAGCATCTATATCTGTTGTTGAATATTCAAGTTATTTTTTTTTTTATTATCATTGTATTTTTATTATGAAAATCTATTATTTTTTATCAATAAATGAATGTAATAATTAACTATTTGTAATTGATTTCGAGTTATCTCAATAATTCGAATCTGATGTTAACTAACTATGGTTTTTGTATAAGATGAATTTCAATAGAATATGTTGTAATCAATTTTACAAGATTTCAACGACATTCTTGTGGTATTCATTTAGCAGGTACTCTACAGCAAATATGTAGAAACATGAAAGTTGGTATTCCTCACTATCAAAAAGTGTTTCATTGCTTGACATTATATAAAATTAGAAGGTGGAACACCTGCTAAAGAAATATTTATATTTGCTCAACTCTGATAAAAAGAATTTTTCTTTTATTATTTACTATTTTATTTCAAGAGAATCTTTAGTTTATCATCTTTTAAGTCGTTGACTTGGCAAATATTGAAAGTCATGTTTGTCAAGAACAATAAACTTTGACAAAGCTGAATAACAATTTTTTTTTATTATTTGACTAATCATTATGAAACCTATGAATCATTTTGATATTAAGTGTAAAAAAAACAACACGTCTCTTTCATCTATCAATTATCAACACTTTGACAATTTCAAGAACAGTGAATAATCAGTAGTACTAACTAAAAACAATTATCATAATGTTTAATTGAATATCGATTACTACTTTTTTTCAACTAAACTAAAAATCTAATTGGTTCATTTAAAAACTAATCAAATAACTTTCTTTCGTTCTGTCAGACAAAGATAAACATGAATGATCGATATAAAAAAAAAAAGAATACCATATTCTATTCACGTCGTCTCTCAAGTTATTATTCGACCGAGTACTTTTTTTTTTTTGAAATAGCATGTCGTTGTTATTCATCATTTAAAAAACAATCGTTATGCATACGAGTGATACGACGACAAAACCAATTCTACCAAGTTGTACGTATTCAATAAATTATACAAAAATTTAAAAATGAAACAATTTTTTTTCATAGTTGTTGTGCAAGAAGAAGGTACACGTAAAGTACTTGTCTATTTACGTATTCCCGAATTAAAAGTTAAAAGATCATTTCCAAATATTTTTAAATTTGTTCCAACAAATGGACAAGAAAAAGTACTCGATTTTCAAAATCAGTAAATATTATTAAATACAAAAAAAAATGATTTAAAACAATTAGAAAAATTTTAGATCATTTACATTTACAATAAATGTTCAAACAAAATTATATTCAATTTCAATTGCACGATTACCAGGAGAAATTCAACCTGAACGTTGTTCAATTATGGTTTGAAAAATAAAAATTTGTTTAAGAAAGAAGAAAAAAAGTTTTGTATTTTTTTTGTAGTATCAACGTGGTGGTTGTTGGATAACATTATATAAATTAGAACCAATGTCTTGGATGAATAGAATTTGTGATAATCTTAATCCTGGATTAGATATCGAAGATGATGATAATCAAAATCCAGAAGTATCAGCTCCTATCGAAGAAGTACAATTAAAAGATACTGATATGCCACCACCATTTAATTTAGTTCCACTTGCTCCTTGTGTACCATCACGATTATCAACAAAAAAAGCACCAGCACCACCACCGCCATCAACAACAACTAATTAAATATTTTGCATAGATATTTATTAGTATTTTGAACAAAAAAAAATATGACTGGAATATTTGTATTATGTATATATATATATATATATGAGTAACGACAGACAACATAAATACTTTGTTTTTGGTTTTGTGTGTGTTTGTAAAACACAAATTATATATGATATTCTTATTTCGAAATGTAATTAGGTAAAATAAAACAGGGATTATAGAAAACAAAATTTTATTTTAGTATATTAATATAAGTATATCTTATCTTGCCAATACATATGCATGATTCAAAAGATCTATCAGAAAAAAGTAAAATACCTAAAAGAAGATTTCCGATGGAAAATGTATGAGAGATAGGGCCCGTATGGTGAAAAATTTTCGGATTCGTATTTTGATACTTTCAATGAAGTTTTCTAATCGGAATAAGATGAGCCACCCTGAAGATACGAGATATTTCTTCTCGGCTTGTTGGCTCCAAAGTTTTCAAACCGAGATCCGGGATCAACCTGATGGGTCCTAGTGAGAGGACTCTTACTCTAAACTTTTGTGAGAAAAATTTTTCAAATAAAAATTAATATTCATCAAATATCCACGCTGTTATCCACTGTGTGAGAAGATAATTAATGTTATTGTATTTTCTTGAAAAGATTGATCTCGCCTGACGGACATTGATATTTTAATTATGGATTTGTGCTTGATCAACTGAAATAGATAAATAAATACTAACGATTAGACATAGAACATATTGATATCAATGAACAAGATAGCTATTTATTCTGTATTTCACGTTGTAGTACATAATAAGATAATGTTTGTTTTAAACTAAAATAAGTAATAATTTTCGATTACTTAGTTGGTATAAGAAGCAACATATAGTAGCTAAGTGACCTTCTGCTAAAGATTATATGTATATAAGATCGTATAATACTTTGTTAATATTGATAAATGTCGAAGATTTCTAACATTAGTTTGCAATAAGTCATTTATATAAAGAACATCAATCAACATGATTACTAATAAATATGATTGGAACAATCTTTTCAATGTAATAAGTTCATTCGTTAACAATGAAGATTAATTATAAATCACAAGTAATTTTCTTAGAATAAATTTAATATTTCAATGCTACAATCAGTTAGACTAAAATTATATATGTTCAATTCGAATCTAACTTCCTATATCTGTTAAATACAATACTACTATCATCTTATGTAATAACTTATTATTGTTTTTTTTAATAATATAAACACACTAGATAGGACTGCTGTATTTGACGCAGAACAAACGATGCTAATAAACGATTCTCTATCTAGTTGATTAGTTGATACAAACTTCTCAGTGTTTTTTCAAATAGAGAAAAAAAATACAACTTACATATGCCGTCTAACTAGGTTATAATAACAATAGAACAGGAATAACTCATGGTAAATAGTTCCTCTCCTAGCATCAAAATAAAACAATAATTTCCTTTTAAACATATATATTTAATAAAAAGACCTAGGGAGAAACAAGACTACTATGCACTCAAAATAATCATATGCAAAAAATAAATTAGTTTCATCAATCTTTTGTCGGAACTTGTGGCAAACACTTTGTCATGCGTCTCAGGAAAAACACAACAATGGTTAACTTAGACAGCGACACAAGCACACAAAAATGTACTAACACTACCCATATTTGGAAGGTACAACAAAATAAAAGAAAATGTAATATAGGACATACCCATGTAGAGCCCATAGAGTATAAGAATTTTTGGACTTGGACTCGGTCGGGTCCGAGCCCAGATCGAATCCAATGTGTTCTATATACATGTGGAAAGAGAGAGATATTGAATAATAAAATAATTAACAGTTGGTATTGTTCTCTATTGAGAAATCAATTACGCAATTTGTGCCTAAATTTCGTACCCTAATTGTTACAAATGAAAAACTTTATTCGATGATTTTCTATATTAAAAAACTTTCCTCCTACGTGCTTAGATTCTGCAGGCTTGTCTCTATGAATGTATGACTAGTAATAAAAACTCATCCTATCTTACAAGAGAAAAATCCGAAAATATAAATCATCAATCGAACTGAGATTCTATCTATGAGTGTGGTTCGATGAGAATGGTAAAAGCCTCAAGGAATTCATCCCTATACACCATCACTGTTTTACCTATACCAACGTATTCATAAAAACTCAAATGCCGATATTTTGATTTCAAACTCTGATTATAGACAGATCTTGTGGTCATTGGCATTTCTCAAAAAGTTTCAGCGAAAGAAAATATTATTCTTCTTGAGACATCGAACATTAAAGACAATCAGTTTTCTGATCTTACCATATGCTACATGATGTGTTTTTCTGAACATTCAATATTCAGATAAAAATATTGCCATTCGAATTTTTCATGAATGCCATGTTATAAGTAAAAAATTCAGTAAACTGGTTATAACTCTAAAACGACGGAGTATGAGCACGAACTCCTTCTAGATTTACAATTCTTATCAACGATTCATACTTTTGGAAATCTTATTCATTGTTTTAATCGTACTGTATAAATCATTTCATGTTGGAACCATAAGAATAAATATTTGAAAAGCATAGTTTCAATATTTCAAAAACTCAAACTAATCGTAAGATCAATTAATTCGATTTTATTTTTTGAGTTTTTCGTCATCTGACGAAGCCATAACATAAGAGAGAAAAAAAATAGACAAACTAGAATATTATATAGAGGACATTAACACATAGACACATTTACAAGAGACAAAGACACATATACTACTAGTACATCGAATCTATACAAAATATTTAAAAAAGAAAAAGAAAAAGAATCATTTGTTTTAATTATCAATTGCTGCAGCACAAATGTCACATATTTTATTCCGCCGTTTTTGACATGTACATTTATTTCGTTTTTTACCTGGTGTACTAGGTACACTTATTATCATAAGATCATCACGACGAATTCGTTTTGGTGTCGTTGTCACTGATGATCGTGTACGTTTTTGATTATGATTATTTGATGGTAATGTTTCTAAAGTTGATTTTTCTGTTCGAATCGGTGAATTAATTATTCGACGTTGTGGTTGACGACGTCGACTATTATTTGTTGGAGTAGGTAATGGTAATAATGGTTTATCATTAATAGGTGATGTTGATTGAATACGTTGTGTTGTTATTTGTGGTGGTGTTAATGGAGATGTTTGAGGTAATGGTGGCATTGCAAGACTTTTTTTCTTTCGTGCAATTGGTGGACGAGGTGGCTTAGAAACTAATGAATTCATAGATGATGATGATGGAATTGATGCCTAAGAAAAAGAAAACATCAATATTCTCAATGTAAGAAATCTTTTAACAAACCGATACAGTAACTGACGTCATCACGACATCTACAGCAGTGACACGATTATCAGTATTGATCGGTTCATTAGGTTTTTTTGGACGACCAGCACGAGATTTTTTATTCAAAACAATATCTTCTTGTTTTTCTATTGCCATAACGATATCTTTTTTACCACGACGACTGCTACGAGTAGATATTGGTTGTTGTTGTTGTGGTGGTTCTTGTTCAATTAAAGGTGGTGTTATTATTGTTTCAATACGTGATGAATTTTTAGATCGTGTATTACGACCAAAACGACGTTTTGGAGATGAAGGCTAATATTAAAAAAAAACGAATGAAATACAATTAAAACAAGAAAATTTCATACTTGTACAGTATCAATTTGATTATCATTTGTATCATCATTGACTTTTCTTTTTTTTGATTTCGTTATTGGTTTTTTTGGTGATATTACAATAATAGGTTCAACTATTTCTAATGATGGTTTCTTTTTACTACGTGATGGAGTTGCACGAATTTTAGTTAGTGGTAGATTCTAAAAATAAACAAAAAAAAAGATCTATTAACACCATTCTTGAGAGATTAGAATGTGAAACACGATATAGCTGTTGCCACTAATCACTGGAAGATTGTGTTGTATTCTATCTATTATAGGATAGATTTCTCCAGAAATACAGACGAATCATTTTTGGCCCAGGTTTCGTGCTTACGAAGGTATGCTCTTTTCTCTTTAGACTTTCAGGATATCCTAGAAGTCATTAAACCTATCTATAGATAAATTTTGTGTCGAAAACTTAGAAAATCAGTTATAACTTAGTGCCAAAGATATAAAACATCATTTGCCTTACTTCTTCAGCATTGATAATTGGTTCGATGAGTTTTTTATTTCTAGTTGTTCTTTTCGAAGGTACTGGAATATCTTCTTCTGGAATGATAATTACTTCTTCTTTTTTATTTCGATTACGTAATGAAGCTGTTCGTGTTATTTTAACTTCTTCATCTTTCTTTTTATTTCGTCCATTTCGTGTTTTTTTTGTAATTATTTGATTTTCTTGTTCAACTGATGATGATGATTGTGGAATAATATTAAGATTATCTTGAATAATTTTTTTTCTTTTTCCACGTAATGGAGTTGTTTCAACTTGTTTATTAATATCAGGTAAAATTTCATTTTGTTGTTTAATTATAATTTCAATATTATCTTCAATAATTTCTTGTTTAGATTTTATTTGATGTTTTGATGAAACATAAATTTCTTTAGCAACAATTATTTCTTCTTGTTGTTCGTTGATTATCGATGATGAAATTTTTTTTTGACGTGTTACTGATTCACCACGTGGAATACGTGGAGGACGACCAGCTGTACGTCCAATTTTAGCTCGTTGTGGAGCAATAGCTGATGGAAGAACTGTTTGAATATCAGTTGAATTTAATATTAATACTGGTGGAACTGACGGAGTAGCCACTAGATAGAAAATTTTAAATTTTTAGAAAAACAAATGGAATTACTTACTAGTAAGATCAATTGGAATTGGTGTAATTGGACTTGTTTGATGTACTGGTGTACTACTAAGAACAGGAGCAAATTGTGATCGACGAGTATTATTAACAGGTGATAAATGTTGATCATTAGTATCGTTTGTAATTGATGATTTAGCTCGAACAACATCAACTTTTCTAATAAAAATAAGAAGTTTGAAATGAATTGATTAATTATAGAATTTATTTACAATGATGGAGATGAAATTTGTTTGTCTAAAATTTGTTGACGAAAGAAAGGTTCATCGAATGGCTAAAGATACAAATTCAAAAAAAACAACAAATAATTTTTTTGACAACAAAATTTTCATACTGTATTATTTTTTATTGCCACATCTTTGAGTCTATGAGATGCAAAAAAAAATATATTCTTAGATGTTCATCATTTCATATTGTGTTTTAAATGCTTACACATCAAAAAAATTATTTCTTATTGTTGAATCAACAACTTTATTTGTAATTGTTTGAAGTGATGTATATGGTTTACGTTGTTGAATTTTGTTTAAAGTTTGTTGAACATTTGTTTCAATTTGATGAAGATGATTTCGTAATTGATTGACAAAATCTTCATTATTATCATGAGATGATGTCAAAACAGAATACAATATTGGAGCAGACGATGTTGTTGCCATTTTTTGAAGAGCAATAGACAAATGTAAACTGAGATATATAAATAGAGAAAGAACAAAAGAAAAAAAAATGTGTCTTTGTTTCCCACAAATTAATATCATATGAACGAATTAAATTGATAATTTATTTCGAAAAATTTCTTTTAATTAAAACTTCGTTATTTATAAGTTTAATATAATAAAAATATATTTTAGTTGTGCAGTTTTATTTATCTTTCAATAGATGTCCCACTCTACAGTGATTATACTTCTTGAAAATGTAATGAGACAAAACAAAGTCATGCTTATAATACATTGCAAGATCTATTCGGAAAACGACAGAAACCCGATGATCAGATTCGGCGGTTGGATTTTTTTCGGTTTCGATTAGAATTAATCGTAAATATGACGATTATCAGATCCTAAACTTCCAAGTTCTTGCCTTTTTTCGTAGTTTTTTAACTAGAACAGATATTATTCTGACAGATTTTCGTCGAAAATTCACGAAACTAGACTCGAGAATTATTAACTTCGACATGCGAATGCATATTTAATTATCGCAACGGGTATAATGCAAATATTCTATACAAGTTGCTTGTTGATTAAAAAAGCAGTTCCTCATTAAATCTATTATTTTTTTTGTTAGAAAAACTAAAATGTCTAGTGCAAAAATATAGAAAAGAATTTCATCGGAACTGTTTCCTGTAGGCTATAAAAAGAAAAGTCTTAGAACAAAAAGTATCCGGAAAACCTTCGGCAACTTTCTTCAATTTGAAACTGTGACGAATTTCAAATTGCTAATTTCTGGTGTTTGACAGCACTAACCTATGACAAATAACAGAAATTAGAGACAAAAAGAAAAAAAGAAAACGAGAAATGTCATTTCATTGATTATATTTCTTTCCTAGTTATGGTGGCAGCGACTATTCAGTTCACGTCAATGATGTACTCTGACATAATGTCATATAAGAGCTGTCGTTGTAACGCACAGCTATATGCATACATTTGATTCTAGGAAGCACCAAAAAGTTAATAATAAAAAAGGGCAAATAAACATTTATTAGATACAAAAATTGTTATTCTCGTTTCGAAAGGATTTACCGATGCTGTTTATTCTAAGGTTTTTGTAACCTTCAGAAAACAGTTAAGATCAATTTTTTTGATATATTTTTATACTAGACATTTTATGTTTTTTAATAAAAGAAAGATCAAATCTTTACAACATTGCATTGTAATGTTATGTCCAAAAGAAAATTAATGCAGAATTTTTGGTTCTCTCAGTTATGTTTAATTGTTTTGTCTTGAACAGGTAACAATTAAATTTAGATGAACAACTTGAACTAGGTTTTTTATTGATTCGATTTTTTTTTCATGACAAATATTATTTTTTTTTGTTTAACAAAGATCGCTGAGCTATTTCATTTATTATCGACTATATTAAACGAAATATGATGAATAAATTAGTGATGGAGACAGGAGACTCACCTCCTTCCAGAAACCTTTGAACTTTCGCTAGAAACAAGACAACCTCATATATTATAGGCGAAGAAAATATCTGCTTTTTCAGTTCCAAATGGGTAGGCTGAGTCCTCTAGAAATGTGTTCTGGCTCCACCGTTATCATAAAGTTAGTCTTCACTCTCAAATAAGAAAAATAAAATAAAATAAAACAATAATTATTTGTGCTATTGATTCTATTTATAAAGAACGAATACAATTATTTCATCTATATGGAATAATCTAATAATTGTAGAATATATAATTAATATTTTAAATCAATGTACTTCATCATTTATGTAGTAGTCATTCTTATATTGAAATCTATAATGCATTTAAAACATTCTTATGTTTGATTTCGATTTCTGGTAATTTGATTAATTAAATAACACACTGAATTTCTAATTTTTCTCTCAGTTATATATTTAATCTTTTAATTTTAAATAATATTAACAAATATATATTTATGTTGTTTTGTTTTTTAGTTGATTATGAAAATTTTCTATAAAAACAAATATCATAAAAATTGATAATAAATCCAAAGGAACAAACATGTTTCATGACAAACTACATCATAAAAGAAAAAGAATGCAGAATAATTAACTTTTCAAAGGGATTCATTAGTCTCATCAACCTTAGATTTAATTTTCATAAACCTTTACCATGGTCATACAGAGAATAAACCCTCGATGAGTTTATTATTTGGTTTTATAAATGCTTGAACAGTTTATTATCTTTCTAAATGTGCAAGTATCTATGAAAATTTTATGTAAAATTTACTATTCTACCCATTTACTTTTATAGCATAGAATTAATTTAGTTAACTTTTAATTCGAAAATAAATTTTCATGAATATTTTCAAGTAAATGATTACTTAATTAAACACAAATCTGATCCATAATTATGTTTGAATAATAAAACAAGAAAATAACTTTTTTGATCTTTTCAGATGACTATTAATCTTATTTTCTTTTTTTATTTATGAATACTTTGCTAGTCAGTCAAGGAAAACTGACAATGCTAATAACTTGATAAAATTATTAAAAAAAAACAAAAAAATAAACGATAGATCGTTCACAAGAGCTTAGCATGACATGTATGTTTTATAGACAATGCTTAATATTTCTTCGGAATCGTTGACTATGTCATGAGAAAAACATTTAGTACTTTTAATAATCTAATGTTTTTCTAGACATCGATTGCGTGTTGTTTATCCATGTGATCGGCATTTTAAAAAGAACAGAATCAATCAAAAATATTTTCAATTTAATTACACGCAACATATAATTTTTATTTTCATATTAAAAACCATTACAGTGTATGTCATCTACAAAGGCTGCTGTTTTTGTTGTAATTAGAATCCAAAAATAGAATCGTTTCTTATTATTAAAAAAGAAAGATAGTAAAACATATAAAATGAAAGCCAAAAAGAAATAAATAAATAACTGATGTTTCAGAAATTGGAATCATGTAAGTATTTTATCAAAATGAAATAAAAAATATTTTTGTGTTTTTTTTTTGATTATATAAATACAAAAGTGGTGCCTTCATCAAGAATTCTAATGTTTAACTTAATATTTAATATCGATATAATAATAACGGCGACACACGTTTATTAAAATAAAAAGACAGAGAATAAATTATAATTTATAAAATATTTACAAGCAGTTGTTATAGAGTAGAATTACCTTTACTATGATATTTTTGTCTTCTACATTTCCCTCGTGATCAATAGTTGAATAGCAACAAAAAAAAAAAAAAGAAAAGCAAAACATCAATATTTTCAAGGTCAAAATTTATTCAATCTACATCATGCTTTGTTCATAACGTCTTTAAACATATAATAAATTGGAAGAAAGCAAAATTGCCAACAATCAAAAGAAAAAAAAAGTTTTATTATCTATGTCATTACCATTACTGACAATTTCAATAAGCTTCCTTTCATATGGTCTAATAACGATAGTAATAAAGTCATGTTACCATTTAATATAAATCTAATCAAGTAATTGCAAATGAATCTATCTAACCAAAAAATCTAGTCGAAATACTGATAATCTAATCGACTCTTTTTTACACGCTAAACTTAACTAAGTTGAAAATGATAAGACAAGAAAAAAAATCTATTCATTATAGAATTAGAAAGAAGAAAAAAGAAAATTTCTTAAAAAGACATGTCTATGAAAAGAACGAGCGAAAAAACAGAGATTGATAGATTTTCTTTTTTTGTTGCTACTATGTGTAGAAGACGTTCATTTCTTGTTGAATGCCACTTTAGTGCTCTTATTCTTGCACCAAATTATTTTTAGTAAAAGTAATGGAATGGAATATGCGCCAAACGACAAAATACTATCAAAACTTATAATTCATGTTTTTTTTTCTTCGCGTTCTTTTTTTAAACCGGAAATTACGTATACACGATGATTCTTTTTAACATCACATAAATTGTTTCTCTTTTTTACTATCCGTCATGCGTACGCTTCTCAGTATCTACCTGCATGGAAGAGTATATGTGTGTGTGTGTGTGTGTGCCGTTCTCTCCTGTGATATTTACGCAATTTTTTCTTCCCGGTCAGAATAATGACAGCCAATACTTGCAGTTCTTTTTTTGTTTTGTTTTTTTACTCACAATAAAAGCACCTAATACAGTATTGCGTGCTTGTACGCAACTGAAAACTGATGATAGGAAGTACTATAAACGTCAGCTGATTTTATAAGATCTAGGTTTCCTGTTTTTAGTTAATCATTATTTTTTTTTTATTGACAAAATCATTACATTTTTCTAAATATATGAGTATTAAAAATAGATGTCGAAACATGTCAGTAACAGCACTAACAATTAAAATAAAATATGCAACGAATAGAGAAAATGATGCGAGTTTATTTCATATGGATGAGTGTTAAACGAGGAGAAAAAAACGCACCTAAATAAGAAAAGAGTAAAGCAAAAAAAAAATATGATAAATAAGATTTTTTTTTCTAGATATTGCTGAAGCATATATTGTTTCCGTTACATATATTAAACATAGCTAGTAGTGAATTGTTTTTGTCTATTAGTTGTCAACGTGCATGCACTAATTCAACTAACGTCTATTCATGGCAACAACTGTAAAAAAACATGAATGTCATCGTAAAAAAGAAAATTTTTTACGACAATATCGAGATGAACAAAGTAAAGAATTGAAGCAATTAACTGCAGCACAATTTATGGAAATTTGGAGTCATTATGATATCGATGGTATATTAATAAAACATAAGAAAATCTTATTTTTTATGTAATTTTTTTCTTTAGGTAATGGTTATATTGAAGGTCATGAATTAGATAATCTACTTCAAGAACTTACATCGTCTATTAGTTTAAGCGATACAAATTACGAAGTAAGTTGCGTTTTTTTTTTTGTCCAGAATGTTTGTTTATTATTATTATTATTATTTCAGTCGATACCAGATAATATATTTCGAGAATTGAAAGTATGCTTCTTAGATGCTTATGATGAAAATGCAGACGGTCGTATTGAAATTGGAGAAGTAAATTTGTTTGGTTTTTTCTTTTTAAATCTCTTCTGTTTGTTTTATTTAATTTGATTTAGTTAGCTGAAATATTACCCATGGAAGAAAATTTTCTTCTTCTTTTTCGTAAAGATAATCCACTTGAATCAAGTGTTGAATTTATGAGAGTATGGAAACAATTTGATATAGATTGTTCAGGTTATATTGAAGCTGACGAATTAAAACAATTTATTAAAACACTTTTAAATAAACGACAAGGAAATAAAGTAACTGAAGAAAAATTAATTGAATATACAGATTCGATTGTATGTACATAACTTATATAAAATAGTTTATTCGTTTTTAAATATTTATTCTTTTTTTTTTTATAGTTACATATTTTTGATACAAATGGAGATGGAAAATTACAATTTAGTGAAATGACGAAGTAAAAAATTAAAAAAAAAACTAAGAAAAAAAAACACAGCTTCTTTTTTTTCTTTGAAATATAATTATAGACTTTTACCTGTTAAAGAAAATTTTCTTTTACGGCCAATTTTTAAAGTAATTGTTTTTTTTCTATTTTCTTTGAAATGAAAAAATGCTTTTAATCCTATATTAAAAATAGGGTTGTTCATCAATAACTTCACAAGACCTTGATAGAGTTTTTCAACTTTATGATAAAGTAAAATTCTTAACAAGAAAAAATAATATGTAGTTTTTTTTTCTTTTTCTACTAATAAAATAGGATGGCAATAACTTTATTGAAGAAGATGAATTAGATGGTTTTGTCAAAGATCTTATGGATCTTGTCAAGAAGGTATTTTAATTTCAATTATATTTCATTTTCTTTCTTTTTGAATTACTTTGTTTTTAGGATTATGACAAAGATGATTTACAACAATTTAAACGATCATTATTAAACGGATGTGATGTCAATCGGGATAAAAAAATTAGCAAACCCGAGCTTAAAATGGTTTTATTATCATTAAATCAATAGCTTCATTCTTAAATGAGCATTATAATCAAAACATATTTTTTGTTTTTCTTTATATTTGAATATTTTCTTGCTTTTTCCAATATTGATTTTGTTTTTTGTTTTCATGTAATGTCAAGCATAATTATTCGATGATTTTAATTACATATGTCAGTAAAGCAGAGGAAAAAAAAACTTTTAGCTGATTAAATTGACATTAAAAACGATTTAATGAATTTTGCTGTGAAAATTTTTCAATGTGTGAAAGAGCAAAAAAAGAAGAAACATGATAATTGTTAAGTTTTTGTTCAAAGAAAAAGGAAATATTTCATACTAGTAAATATAATCTAAATGACTCATAAAGAATAATTTTGTTTTATTTTTTCTTTTTGTATACGTATTTTGATAACAATAGCTTACTACTTTTTCATTTATTTCAATATGTTTTTTAAGGATTTACAGATGAAATAATTCATTGAATTATTATTAGAACTTTTGAAAAAGAAAAAATAAGTTCTTTCTTTTATATGTTTGACGAGATATGAAAATATTTCAATTAATAATTTTCTTTGCTTTTAACTTCATGATAAATAACAAACTAATTTAAACAATAAGTTTCAATATGTTCAAATCTGAATGATAGAAAATAATTAGTCAAAATTTAAATATAAAAGAGTAAATTAAGAAGATTAAAGTTCTACAACAACCCAACTTGTGAATGGCCAGTAAATTCACCTAAAACTTTCAATGGTGTCAAATTTTGCATGATTTCTTTTTTTTTCTAATACAATCTATTGCTTG